CAAAAGGGAAACAACATACCAAGTAATTCAGCGCTGAATTTTCACCAGCGCATGGGCCCTGGGGAACAGTTGCATGATTCGGGTTGCATGGCTGTTACGGAGGGACAGCTATTGGGTCCTTGCTGTGAGACTGGGGAAGGAATACAAGCTGGCCCCTGCAGTGTAGCTGCTGCAGAACTACAGCCATGTGGCGACCGCGCAGTGGCATGGGCGCAGCCATCTTGCCCACGCCAGGCACTGGAAGTGGAGGCTCCTCTTTCGCTCCCACAGCCATTTTGTCCACGCAGAGCACTGGAGGTAATGTCTCTTCCAGTTGCGCAGCCATGTTGTCCCTATCTCATGGCAGGAGAGAGGGCTTCTCTTCCGGTTGCACTGCCATTTTCTCATATGCCCCTTCCAGGGGAGGCATACAGGGAGTGTGTTGATCCAGGAGGAGGCGAGCTAACGGAGGACAGGGGGGAGGGGTCAGTCACAGCCCCTCTGAGTGAGGATAAATGATTAAGCGCTGGTGCTTCCTTAAGAATGTGGGAAAGGTGCCAGGAGGAGGCATTGTGTGCTGGCGATTGGGAAGTGATAAATGCATGTACTGTCATTGATCAACCACGACAAACCCCTCAGTTCCAAAGCTTGTCGTATGAAGTAACTAAGGAACTGAGGCAGATTGTTAGAGTGGTGTCTCTTCGCCTCATGTGTTTTCCTATCTCGAAACATTAAGTAACACGTATGTATTTACACCCCATGATTGGAAGACACTGTTAAAGATGATATTAACAACTACCCAGTACAGTGTCTGGCTTACGGACTTTTGGGAAAGCTGCACGGCTTACGCAAATGACCAGAGCAGTTTACAGGCAGGAATGACTTGTGCTCATCTAGCGTGGGAGGGGGTGCATGCAGCACCCGGATCCCAAGGAGATTATCCCTGCAAAGTTTATGAAGTTATTGCAAAGTTGGTATTGAGAGCGGTAAGGAGACTTCTGAGCACTGACAAAGATAGCAAACTGTCCTTTGCTAAGGTCCTGCAGGGATCTACGGAACCCTTTACACAGTTTCTTGATCGGCTGCAGGCTTCTCTAATCAGACAAATTGAAAATGAGGATGCAAGAGAGTTGCTTTTTAGACAGCTTGCTTATGAAAAAGCAAATAGTGACTGCCAACAGGCTTTACAGTCTATTCCCAAATGAGAGAGTTGCACAGTTGCTGAAATGGTGTAGGCTTGTCAAAATGTGTGATCTATTGATCATCGGACAGCATCTCTAGCCACGGCTTTAGCTGCCCAATTGAAGGGGCAAAGGGAAAAAGAGGCTGCTTCCAATGTGGAGCATCTGACCACCTTATAAAGAACTGTTCCAAAAAATTCCCTCTGGCAACTTGCCATAAATGTGGAAGAGGGAATCATTGGGCTAGTGAATGTCAGTCTCAGGTCGACATTAGGAGACAGCCTGCACCACAGGGAAACTGGAGGAGGGGCATGAAGCCGCGTGCCCCTGCCAATCAAATAAGTTTGGCTCAAAACAATCAGTTCACGACTTATAGCCACCACAGGCAGTGCTGGCCTGGACTTGGCCTCCAGACAGCCAGTAACTATAACATCTACTGCCATGGTTTTAATACCCACTGGGGTGTGGGGGCCCCTGGGGGCAGGGGTCCATGGTCTCTTAATCAACCGTTCCTCTACCACAAAGATGGGTTTGTTCATCCTCCCCGGAGTGGTTGATTCCAATTCTCATGGAGAGATTCAAATTATGGCTTGGATGCCTGTAACACCCTGTCATATCCCTGAAGGGCAGCGGCAATTAATAACTTTCTATAGTGCTTCACCCCCAGGCAAGGGAAAGAGGGGCACTGGGGCATTTGGAAGCACAGGTGAGCCATAAATCTTTTGGGCCAAGACTACCTCTCAGCCTATGTTGATTTGTCATATTGATAGGAACAGATTCAAGGGCCCAGTAGACACTGGTGCAGACGTGTCCATAATCAAAGACTGGCCTTCTGACTGGCCCACAGTCTTCCCCGCTTCCAGAGCCCTCTCCGGGCCACCATCTCCATCCTCCATTCCAGGTGATTTAGAAAAACCTGGAAAAAAGTACAGCTAAAACTTCCAGCAGGGGATTCAAACCCATGGCAGTCAAGATTGCCAAACAGGCTCTACTTTCTGCACGCCAAAAGTGACTTCAGGACAGGGCAGACTATTTTAAAATGGAAAGGCATCCCCCCCTTTCCTTCTGGCTGTACCAAGCCAACACAAAATCCCCTGAGTAAACACAATGGTACGGTCCACTGTCTACCGTCCCTGCTCTGCCTTTACCAAAGTTTTACCGGGTGGGGGATCCTCAACCCACACCCCCTTAAGTGTCCTGGGCCAGTCAAACTGCCTGTCCAGGTGAAACACTTTTCGCCCACAGACTAGGTAAACACCGACTTTTGCAACAACACGGGCCCAAGTGTCACTTCACTTCCCAGCCCCACTGTATTCCCAATTTCTGGGGAAAACCCCACTTTATAATTGCTAGCAAAATTACCACAAAGGACCTGTTCTTTTATCTCACCTCTGTGTGTGTGGTTCTGAGGAACTGGGCTTCTCAAGATTGGTGTGGGAATTCTCCAAAATATGCTAGCAGAAGAAGAATTTCCTGCAGAATGATATTTCCCTATCCGGAGGAGTCACAGGTCCCACTTTTCCACCTTTTGGGGCTCCAAACTGTTGCCTTAAGACACCGTGGAGAAAACAACTCCAGACTAATTTAGTATAGGGGATAAGGTAAAGAGAGCTGGTCCTTTAATGAGTCCATAGGCCTAGAGGAACACATACCATGCGCATACATTCGAACACAGGTTTTATGATTTTATAATGATGTCCATCCAATCTCAATCTGTCCACTCCTGGTTCTGCCACCTGACACTCCCCTTCAGGAACTGGGTTTGGGGTCTTTGGGACCCCTTCTTCTTCATCCTTGTCTTCTTTGCAGCACGCACAGTCCTTGGAGTTCCTCCAAAGTTCTGGGCTTGAAGGTCACTGTTTCTGTGTGATATCTTCTGGTCCAGGCCTAAGGGTGTTTTTCTACAATTCTACCTTGAAAAGAAGACTAGACTAAACACGCTAACAGAATTTAGAGGGATTGATATGGAATGGGGTAACAGAGTTGGCTATGTGTAAACATTATGCTACACGTAAAGGGATATAATACAGCTACGTTAAAATCTACATTCACTACACAACTACTTCTAAAATCTACAAAATATTAAAAAATCAAAAACTCTAAGGCATCACCACACAGAGATTCCAGGACCCATAGCAGTGAAATAAAGACAAGATAAAAAACAATAAAAATTTATCTATGTTAGTAAAATTTAGCTATGTTGTGTGACTTTGCAAAATTGTAACTGCTTGAAAGAAGGTTTACTGCTCAAATTGTGGGCAATGAAGATAAAGCTAGCTTACCTAAACAAAAGGGACTATCAGGGAAAGCGGGAAAGACTTTTAGCATGTAGCATGGCAAGGGAGACAAAAGAGGGGTGGGGGGAAACCTAAGCTGTTTGAAATTATAAAACCTTATGTAACTACTCTATAGTAATAAGAATAGGACTTAGGCAACCAAATGTTTATTTAGATAAGGCAGACTTTGTAAAGAGTGTATATGATAGATAATTTTGAAACTCACTTGCTGGGGTCTTGGCAGTTTTAAAGGATTGTGCTGAGTTCTAAAGAGGCCAGGAGCTGACCGTTAGACAAACAAGAACAAGTCTGCAGCTGCAGGAATGCAGAGGTCAGCAGAAAGCAATGTGTGAGAAATGGTGATAACAGAAACTTTTCCCAGGAATGTGTGCTTTAAGGATCACCAATGGATGGACTGCTTGAGGCGCATGGACAATGCAGACCAACCAATCATGGAGGCATGCTGTGCTCGTGACTGCATGTCCAAGACTCAAAAGAATATATATTGTGTGGCCTTCTGATAATAAAATGGATTTGAATCTGCATCTCATAGATGTGTTGTTCTTTCCCGCTCGCTTGAATGCCCACGGCACTCACTCCTTCAAATGTATAAAGAGCTGTTGTGTTTCTTTTCTCAGTGGAATGCACGGGGGGAAAAAACCCCTGCATCTCCCCAACCATAATAAAAGTGTGCTTTACATATTGTTTAAGGATTTCTTTGAATCAGTGGAGGGCAATCAAAGAGCACATGCTGCCGCTATGATTGCTTCTGTTCCCAAAACTCTTGAGCAGGCCAAACTCTCTCACCTATTCTTTCATCAGAATGCACGCTCTTTAAAGAGGCAATTCCAACTTACGATGAATCAAGCCAGAGATATCATGTCATGTCCTGACTGCCAACAATTTTCCCCAATGCCATCTAAGGAAGAGGCGAATCCCCAGGGCATAAAAGCTAATATGGCAAACTGACGTTACTCGTATAGCTGAATTCAGTTGGCTAAAGTATGTACATGTTACTGTAGACACACACTCTAAGCACATTAATGCCACCGCATACACTGGGGAAAAAGCAAGAGATGTCATCATACACTAGCTTAGCTGCTTTGCAACTTTGGGAATCTCAAAAACTGTAAAGACAGATAATGGTCCTGCATATTGTTCTTAAAAAGTTAAAACATTTCTCACAGATTGGGGGGGTATCTCACCCTACAGGCATACCACACTCACCCACAGGACAAGCTATCGTAGAAAGAACATACCGTACATTAAAAGAAATGCTATAAAAACAAAATGTTGGGGTAGGTGGCAGGTCTGCAGATCCCCGGTGAAAGATATAGAGGTGGAGGATATAGACTTAGATGCTTTAAAGCCATTTCCCTGAAGAATTCACAGGAGCAGTGAGAAAGTTTGAGAAGGTGACAAAACTGACCAGTGAGAGGAGAATGTAAATAAGATGTGAATGTCCAATTGTGTGTAAAGGATAATAATAGATCATAGATAGAGGGCTATTAATAGAAGGGTATATAAAGTTCTACTTGCAGAAGGTGTATAAATAAGGCTGAACTGAGCAATAAAGCAGACTCTCTGATCATCATCATCATACTGTGCCTGGTGTTTATTCTTTCAGTCGTCCTGACTACAACAACAAAAAAAGGGGGAATCCATCTATAGTCTGCAGGAACGCCTGTGGAAAGCATCATATGTCTTAAACTTTTTAAACTGTGATGACACAGGCCATAGTGGATACGAGCGTCAACATGAATCTCAGGTGCTTTCCTCTCCCAAACCACCGGTCATGATAAAAGATTTAATATCAGGACAGTGGTCAGGACCAGTGGACCTCGTGACCTGGGGGAGAGGATATGCATGTGCATCCACGGGTGCTAAATAAGGATGAATTCCCTCTAGATGTGTCAGGCCCTATATTAACTCTCCTTCAGAGCAGGAACAATCATCAAAAGTGACAAATGAAGAAACTGGAGTCAAAGAAACACACAGTCAAGAACTACTGCTAATTTAAGTATGTGGTTGAAATGCAGAGACATAGTAAAGATCTTAAGCATGCATGAGTGAAGAATAACTGTGGCTGCCACCTGCATATGTCTGCAAAACTGTGTGGAAATATGTATGTGTGTGAACTCAAGAGCACTTTATATCAAAGATGCCTTAAATAAAATACAATCACATAATAATACTACCTCACCTACACCAGTGTCCCAGGAGGACAGTTGAACACGATACTTATCCCCTAACACCTTTCGCCCTTGAAATAAAGCTGATGTTCTTTGCCCAGTTACGTGCAAACTCTCAGAGAAATAAAGTTGAAGTTCCATACCCAGTTATATATAAACCCTCAAATAGAAATTTTACGCAAGCCCACCTGTTACAAACCCTGTATTAATGAAGGTTAAATGGTTGGTGAAGTTACTGTATTAAGATGGGGATTGTTAATGTTAAGAAAGGTTTACAAATTGTATTATTCTGTGGCTTGTTGCTATAATAAAAGAGGTGGATATGTAGGGGTTGGCATGTATGTAGGGGAAAAGAGGGGGGAAGCAAGAAAGTGGTGTTTGGTTTGGAAAGTCTCAGTGGGGGCACTGAATTGGGGAGGACCATTCCTAAACTCACAGAGCTAGCTGATGTCATCACAAAACCTCTCTCAAGGATTTTTAAGTGGTCTTGGGAATCCAGAGAAGTCCCATCTGATTGGAAGCTGGTGAATGTTATCTCAATTTTCAAGAAAGGAAAGAAGCAGGACTCTGGAAACTACAGTCCTGTTGTTCTCACTTCAGTGCCTGGTAAAGTTATGGAGAAGATTATTCAGGGAAGTATATTATTCAGGACAAGAAGGCACGGGCTTAAGCTCTGTCAGGGGAGGTTTAGGTTGGATATTAGAAAGAAGTTCTTTACAGAGAGAGTGATCAGGCATTGGAATGGCCTGCCCAGAGCGGTGGTGGATTCACCGTCCCTGAGGTTTTTAAGCTGAGGCTGGATGTGGCACTGAGTGCCATGATCTAGTCATCACAGTGGGGTTGGATCAAGGGTTGGACTTGATAATCTCGGAGGTCTCTTCCAAACCAGTTTATTCTATGATTCTATGAAAAACACCTGAAAGACAACACTGTCATTGGTCACAAGCAGCATGGCTTCATGAGGGGAAAGTCCTGCTTATCAAACCTGATTTCCTTTTGTGACACGGTAACCCACCTAGTTGATCAAGGAGAGGCAATTGATGTAATCATTTTGGATTTCAGTAAAGCTTTCAATACTCTCTCTCACAGGATCCTTCTGGACAAAATATCCAGCACACAGCTGGATAAACACATCATGCAGCGGGTGAGCAATTGGTTTATGGGTCAAGCACAAAGGGTTATAGTGAATGGGGAAACATCAGACTGGCCATGTCACTAGAGGGGTTGAGCAGGGCTCCATCTTAGGCCCTGTGCTCTTCAACATCTTCATAAATGACTTGGATGCAGGACTGGAACAGATACTAAGCAAGTTTGCAGATGATACAAAACTCAGAAGAGCTACTGACTCCCTCAAAGGCAGGGAGGCCCTGCAGAGAGACTTTGACAAATTAAAGGACTGGGCAATCACCAACCATATGAAGTTCAGCAAGGGAAACTGCTGGATTCTGCACCTGGGATGAGGCAACCCTGGATATACATATAGACTGGGGAATGAGATATTGGAAAGCAGTGCTGGGAAAGCCTCACTAGAACTTAATCTGGCTACTGCTATCAAAGACAACAAAAAATGTTTTTACAAATTTATCAGCAACAGAGGGCTAAGGATAATCTCCATCCTTGGATGTGTGAGAAATAAAAGACCGGTTTTATTACAAGCAAATAAAATAGACAAAGGGGTACTAAGGGTTATTTTTGTTTTCTTATTATTAACCTTTAGGCGTTCCAAGAAAGTTGTTAGGCATACAGTTCAGTCTTGAAATGTATGCCAGAGAATGGACGTGCGGGAATAGGGAATTGCATACTAACTGGAAACATAGCTGACCCAACCCCATGCCACATGACTAGCCATGCAGGCAGATGGAGGTCACCATTTCACCATTTTGCCTGAAACTCTGCCCCTGGCATGAGAGGGGGGCACAGGAGAGCCAATCTGAGGAGGAAAAACGTCCCCCTGTGACATAAAACAGGGTTGGACCTTAGGAATGACCAACCTGATCTCCTTTTATGATCAGGTGACCCGCCTGGTGGATGAGGGGAAGGCTGTGGATGTGGTCTATCTGGACTTCAGCAAAGCCTTTGACACTGTCTCCCATAATATACTCCTGGAAAAGCTGGCAGCCCATGGCTTGGACAGGGGCACTCTGTGCTTGGTCAGGAACTGGTTCGAGGGCCGGGCCCAGAGAGTGCTGGTGAACGGGGCTGCATCCAGCTGGCGGCTGGTCAATAGTGGTGTTCCCCAGGGATCAGTGCTGGGCCCAGTCCTGTGTAACATCTTTATTGATGATTTAGATGAGGGGATTGAGTCCATCATTAGCAAATTTGCAGACGACACCAAGTTGGGAGGGAGTGTTGACCTGCTGGAAGGCAGGAGGGCTCTGCAGAGGAATCTGGATAGGCTGAAGAGTTGGGCTGATTCCAACGCGATGAAGTTCAGCAAGGCCGAGTGCCAGGTCCTGCACTGTGGATGTTGTCTACCTGGACCTTAGTAAAGTCTTTGATAGTGTGTCTCACAGCATCACATCATTCTCTCAGAGAAACTGGCTGCTCAGGGCTTGGACAGATGCACTGTTCGCTGGGTAAAAAACTGGCTAGATGACTGAGTCCAAAGAGTGGTGGTGAACAGAATTAAATCCAGTTGGCAACTGGTCACAAGTGGTGTTCCCCAGGGCTCAATATTAGTGTCAGTCCTATTTAAATTCTTTATAAATGGGCATGGGGATTGAATGATTCTATGATTCTATGACTGAATTGAGTGGTCCCACTTCGTCTTGTTCGTATGTACAATGGGATGTATTATTGCATTAGATTGCAATTTTCGTGGCCACTAAGCCACTAGACATCCACCAAGCCCCACACAGCCACTCGCTCACTCCTCCACCAGCAGGACTAGTGAGAGAATCAGAATGGTAAAAGCTAGAAAATTCATGGATTGAGATAAAAGTTTTAATAAGGAAAGCAAAAGCTGCACACACAAGCAAAACAAAACAACAAATTAATTCACTGCTTCCCATGGGCAGGCAGGTATTCAGCCATCTCTTGGAGAGCAGAACTCTATCATGCGTAATGGTTACTTGGGAAAACAAATGCCATCACTCCAAATGTCACCCCCTTCCTCTTGCTTCCCCCCCACTTTATATACTGATCATGATGTCATATGGTATCGAATATCCCTTTGGTCAGTTGGGGTGAGCTGTCCTGGCTGTGTCTCCTCCCAACCTCCTTTCATCCCCAGTTTCCTTGCCAGTGTGGCAGTACAAAGAGCAGAAAAGATCTTGGCTCCATGTAAGCCCTGCTCAACAATAATGGAAACATCTCTGTATTATCAACCCTGTGTTCAGCACAAATTCAAAATACAGCCCTATACTAGCCACTGTGAAGAAAATTAACTCTACTCCAGCCAAAACCATCACAGCAATAAAGAATGTTTTTTCTGAATTTAAAATACAAATTCTCTTGACACCTGTCTGGACTATATATGTGTTTCTGTCAAGTTTCTACATTGTTCAACTAATCTGACAGGGTTCAGTCCTAAAACAATCTAGAAATATAATAAATATACAAAGTATAATAAAATGTACTACTTGCTTCAGTTTTAGAGTGCTCATTTGGGGAATACTTTTCTCCACATTTCATGAACTGTTCATATCATCACAGTACTTCTAGGCAATATATCTGATAACTTCTTAATTGTACTGTTTGATGAGTTGAGCCTGGATGGATGCCAGGTACCCACCAAAGCTGCCCTATCACTCCCCTTCACAACTGGACAGGGGAGAAAAAATATAGCAAAAGGTTCATGAGTTGATATAAAGGCAGGGAGAGATCACAAATCAATTACTGTCAAGGGCAGAACAGACTGAACTTGAGGATATTAACTGAATTTATTGCTAACAAAACCAAAGCAGGATAATAAGAAGTAAATTAAATCTTAAAAATACCTCCCCCCACCCATCCCTCCTTCCCAGGCTCTTCCTCCTCCCCCCCAGCGATGCAGGGAGACGGAGAATGGGGGTTACGGTCAGTTCATCACACCTTGTTCCTGTTGCTGCTCAGGGAGAAGAGTCCCCTACTCCCCTGCAACACATATTGTTTCTGCTGCTCCTTTCTCCTCAGGGAGAGGACTCCTTCCTCTGGTCCGACATGGGGTCCCTCTCATGGGAGACAGTCATCCATGAACTTCTTAAATGTGAGTCCTTCCCATGGGCTACAGTTCTTCATGAACTGTTCCAACATGGGTCACTTTTTCATGGGGTACAGCCTGCTCCAGCGTGGGTCCCCCACAGGGTCATAAATCCTACCAGGAAACCTACTCTAGCATGGGCTCCAGTCTCCATGGGTCTGTAGGTCCCTGCCGGGATCCTGCTCCAACATGGACTTCCCACGGGT